AGATTATAGGCTATCTTAAGCCTTTATGCAAATTTCCTTTAAAATATTACACACTTCCATTCATGAAGCAATTGGTTTTGACTTTTGAAATGTATATTAAACCAAACTATATTTGTTTTATTTCAGAAATAAAGTCAAAACTAACAAACAACTAATTGATTGCATTCTAATTAACTTTTCATCAATTACTTAGCAAAAAAGTGAGTACATGTATGTGTAATTGGCATTAAAATCAAAGTTTTGAAAACTAGCTGCCATTTATTATTAAATGTAACTGACAACATTTGAAATGAACTCATGTCAGATTTGGCTTCCTGACATGTATTAAAAGGCCTGTCACATCAATATTTACTAATAACAAAAAACTGTCAGAAAATTAGCATTACACAAATTTAAATCACTTTGAAAAGGAAAAAATACAAATTTACCTTACCAAATTTAATTATATTTGTTTTATATAGATGACTATATGCATATAGTAAAACCTGTCTTGAAAGACCACTGCTATGTGAGACCACCTGTCTTGAAAGACCATATTCTCAGAGCATAAACTTAATGATTAAATAGCACTTTGACCTGTTATGAGAGAGACCACCTGTCTTGAGAGACCATACTTTTCTGGCAGAAAGGGTGGTCTTTCAAGACAGGTTCTACTGTATTTACTAGTCACTCAAATGAAGATTAATAGTTTCTTATCAGTCATAAATGATATTCCACCTACTTATCTCTGAAAGATTAATGCAATAAGCTAGTGCTTTGAAAGACAAATAGAAACAATTATTTATTTCCAATAGATCTAACCATAACTGCTTGATCATGAATGCCTATAAAAAAAAGGGCCAGCTAGGGTATACACTTTTGAGACAAATGATCACCATTGTTGAAAAACTTGAACCAAATCCTTAACAAATTATTGATGAGGTGGAAAATTGTTATGTCTTGTTTTGCTGCATTAATAACAGCAGGACAAAATCCACTTAACTCCAATGTATATATGTATGAATATGGCAAGTTTCCAATCAAAGTAACAGGTGGTAGACTTAGTTTACTATAGTCCATTGAGGCTAATTGACTGCTTCAATAATTTAGATCAAACCATCTGATCTTAATCAATACTGCACACAATAATAACAATGATAAAGCATAATACCCACTTGGGTGTGGGTGAGTGGTATAGCACCATTTCTTCTCTGGAACAAAGCATTTACATCAAACCGTGTTTTTTGGTGATTTGAGGACAATATCATGTTTATCAAATCTGTACAATATTAGCTACTAAGAATGAATGAATTTGTAAATCATGGAAAAATGCTGTAAAACTGCATTGTCAACTATGACAGAACTGTACAGCAAAACAGCATTATCAGAACTGTACAGCAAAACAGCAGTCAACTCCAACATAAATGTGCAGCAAAACAGCAGTCAACTCTGACAGAAATGTGCAGCAAAATACTGTCAACTCTGACAGAAATGTGCAGCAAAACACTGTCAACTACTATAAAACTGTGTAGCAACACTGCACTGTCAACTTCAACAAACTTTAAAATGAGACCCATAACCATATTCCAGCATCTTAAAACAACAGAATTATAGGCTTCAAGAATGCTGTAAAATCAAATGCAAATGCACATGCTTTTGAAATCAAGTGCTGATGCTTACAGATACTAATAGTGAAATTTAAGTGTCTATAATGCATATCCATGATATTCAAAGTGTCTATACAGTCTATAATGCATATCCATGATATTCAAAGTGTCTATACAGTCTATAATGTGTATCCATGATGTTCAAAGTGTCTATACAGTCTATAATGTGTATCCATGATATTCAAAGTGTCTATACATTCTATAATGTGTATCCATGCTCTTCAAAGTGTCTATACAGTCTATAATGTATATCCATGATGTTCAAAGTGTCTATACAGTCTATAATGTGTATCCATGATATTCAAATTGTCTATACAGTCTAGAATGTGTATCCATGATGTTCAAAGTGTCTATACAGTCTATAATGTGTATCCATGATATTCAAAGTGTCTATACAGTCTATAATGTGTATCCATGATATTCAAAGTGTCTATACAGTCTATAATGTGTATCCATGATATTCAAAGCATGTTACAATCATACAAGATAATTAAAATCAAAATCAACAACATAATCAAGATATAACAGACACTGGTACAAGTTTATGTTCTGGAATTCCCAGTTTACTTACTTTTGGGGCAGCTAATCAAATAAAGCATTGCAATTCAATTATAGGAAGACTTATCATTATTATATGTTTTAAATGAGCTTTTTTTTCAATTTAAAAATGTGAGAGCTGTAATTTGATTGGTGAATCACAAAGCCCACAAAACACTGATTTCATAAAGGTTTTCATAAGATTTTCTTATTATAAATAAATATTGATTTTAATCATGTGCATGATATAAAGATGGTTGACTACAACAACAAAAAAAGATAGAATTAGAAAGCAATTTGATCCCTAAATAATTAGCAAAACATAATAATCAGAGGTATACCTGTATGTTGAGTACTTATGGTACCTTTACATATACATGTATAGTCCTGTACTTATGGTATTTTTACATATACATGTATAGTCCTGTACTTAAGGTACCTTTACATATACATGTATAGTCCTGTACTTATGGTACCTTTACATATACATGTATAGTCCTGTACTTATGGTACCTTTACATATACATGTATAGTCCTGTACTTATGGTACCTTTACATATACATGTATAGTCCTGTACTTATGGTACCTTTATATATACATGTATAGTCCTGTACTTATGGTAGTTTTACATATACATGTACATGTCCAGTTTATAGGATTCAAAGTCATTATTCAGCACAAGATAGGCTACACATGGCAGCCAGTACAAATGGTAAAAAAAGAACCATGGACAACCACTGAACCATGAGAAGCTACTAGCAAGCTTTCTCACCTACCCACATTGGCCACTCAGATTCAAATCTGTACAGACAGAGGTGAGAGGGCAGTGAGGTAAATGCAAGCTTTTTAGACCTCTCAGGGCCCTGTATACATTATGTAATTGTGTTATCCTTACATATAAATGTCTTGTACTTAAGGTATCTTTAAAAAACACACTTGTTGCAGCAATAACACTAAAAGGCTTGTATGAACATGTTATTCATATGCACTTATTTTCAAAAACCTACTTGTTATTCTGATTCTACAATATTTCAAGTTCTGAGTAATATTTACTTTTGCAATCTGCACATTCAAACATATTAAACATTGATCATTTTCAGTCTAAAACATGGAAAATAACAGACCTAGATTATGGCCCAATATCTAATAACAATACAAGACAGGCCTGCTGTCTAATAATAGAACCAAATTATGACCCAACATCTAATAATACCAGATTATGGCCAAATGTCTAATAACAGTACCAGATTATGACCCAAGGTCTAATAACAGTACCAGATTATGACCCTTCTAATAACAGTACCTGATTATGGCCCAATATTTAATAACAGTACCAGATTATGGCCCAACCTCTAATAACAGTACCAGATTATGGCCCAATGTCTATTAACAGTACCAGATTATGGTGCAATGTCTAATAACAGTACTTGATTATGGCCCAATATCTAATAACAGTACTAGATTATGGCCCAATGTCTAATAACATTACCAGATTATGGCCCAATGTCTAATAACAGTACCAGATTATGGCCCAATGTCTAATAACAGTACCAGATTATGGCCCAACCTCTAATAACAGTACCAGATTATGGCCCAATATCTAATAACAGCTCCAGATTATAAGGCCCTAACCATAATCTTAACCCTAACTCTTGTAACTGGGAACCAGTACCATTACTAAGTATGCACATAAAAGATACCATATATACTCACATAAAAGTCAAGTCCAACTGCAAACAACACTGACCCTGATCTGCTGTAGCAGATTTAGGTCTTTGCAGATTGTTTGGCAAAATGAAAAGAACAAACAACACAGACCTTAATCAGCTTGTACAAAGTGTCAATTGCAGATCAGGGTCAATATTGTTCAAAGTTAGAATCAACTTTTAAGCTAACAACTGTTTATGCCATTTCAACAGACTAAAGAGTTATCTCCCACTGTATATGTTGTCTTACATATTTTAGGTCAATGCCAAAGACCAGTATAACAATGTTCTAAATGAAATCTGAAACTTATCATTCTCAAATGAAATATTTATATTGACACTCTTGTGATACACTGTCTTTTTGTTTTGCTTTATGTTATAAGAGTTAACCTATAGCATTACTGAAAAATAATTAATAAACCCTTAAACTTTGTCCTTTCATCTTTATTACTAAACGTTTGTGAGTCAATCCAAGTAAGGTCAGACGAAGGAAAGTAACTTATTAAAAAAATGTAGTAATTAGGCAATATCTAAAGTAGGGCTAACATTTACATGTAGGTTATAGTGAACAAGGAAAGAAAAACATAATGCTACATAGTTTTCTAAGAGGAAATCAACAGAACTAGATTAGTGAACTGCAATCTGTAAGGGTTTTCATAAAAAATATTTTAAAAAAAACAAAATTACATACTGCTTCATACAGAAAGCTGCTAGTATCTGGAGAGAATTCATTTGTAATTTAACAAATTAGTCTTTTCAAGAATAAATTAATAAATTCTCACTTAGTACAGCTATGTGAATACAGTGTGATTAAATCTTAATAGACATTTACAATACAATTAATTTAGTAACAATAATCCACACAACAAGTATGTGTGTGATTTAGATTTTTAAAGTAGCTTGAACAATTTTTCAGTCAAATCTATACAATTTCTGCAGTGTGACAATTTATAGTGATGTCAAGCACAGGGGCATAATTCTGCAGATTTGTGGCACGCTGTCTCCTACCTAGTCACATTATCCTGACACCAGTCTGACCAGTCCTAACACTAACCTCTTAATGCTGAGTGCCAAGTGAGGCAGCTGTTAGTACCATTTTTAAAGTCTTTGATATGACTCAGCTGGGGTTTGAACCCACGACCTCCAACATCTGAGGTGGACGCTCTAACAACTAGGAGCAGTCACACACACAAAAAGTACATTTCAACTTAAACCAGACACAGAAGCTCAACGAATGTATATGGGTCATATGCTACAACACCCAGGTTAGATTCCTTAGCCAGGCAAAGTCAGCCACCTTGTTTGATGGCCAGGCAGGGTCAGCCACTTTGTTCAAAGGCCAGGCAGGGTCAGCTACCAGGCTGTATCCTTGGTCAAAACATCACTCTCATTGCCCAACAAAACCAACCAAAATCTCTAGGCTGAGCACCTTAAAACAGGCTTATCCCAGCCAGTGTTCTTCTGATGTACATATACACCAGTGGCTTAAACTGGACAAGATGGGAAACAAATATATATATTTCAACTGTTTTGTAACAGTGACAGGCATATACCTATGTACAAGTCATATCCAACTGCAATCAATATAGACCCTCATGTGCTGTCACATAATGCACCAGCAATTCGGGTTTATGTTGCTTATTCTACTGATTACTCCTAACTACATAAACCCAGATGTGCCAGCACATTATGCAATGGTAAGTCTGGTTCTATGAAGTTCATAGTTGGTCCTCAAGTACATACAGTACCTTAAAACCACCTTATAATGAGCCCAAAATGAGTCATCTTTAACAGACAGCCACATGCTACACTGTATACCTGTAATATTCCAAGCTTTTGACTAATTATACTTATCTGTTTAGCACCACTTGCTTACTGTTTTCTTACATTTTACAGTAATGTGTGTAGGTAAACATCCATTAAAATTTATCAATTAGTCCAATCTGAAAATCTAATTAAAGATTGATATTTCTGCTGTAATGACACATAAGTTTTATTCTGTGAAGTCTTGTTATTGTCATTTATCATATCTGGTTGTTGTAATTTATATTCTTCTTATTAACATTTTTCAAAAATGTGCAATAAAACTGCATCTATTTTATTCACCAAGTACCAATCATTGCTTAATTTAAAGGTATATGACTTTTTTTTAATCCCTTAAAATTGGCAAGAATTAAGAAGAATATGTATCACTGTAATTATCATGATGATATTTCCATGAATTTAATAAGTCACCTTCAGTCATTTTAATACAGCTTTAGCTTTAAATGATTGGTCAGGCACTTTTAATATGAGAATAGTATTTATGAATAGGTCCTTTTATATACTGTAGCATGTTGAACAAATATGTGGGATATATCTATGTTGCTATTGCATTAGCAGTTTTATAGGAGGAAATTACAATACCCACACCAAATGAGGAATGTCCTCTCATTACTGTAAACCAAACATGAGAATCACACACACATTTATATGCTGGCACCCTTCATTCATTTTAAGGGGAACAGCCTTACTTAGTGGAAGATCAGTCCAGGATGGGATGAGGGGAATTTGGCAAATAGCAAAATGTAATCACTAAAATTAGTTTCATGCCCTCCCCCTCCAAAAAACACAACATTTTAGTATTAGTAATACCTGAGGCTCTTGTACAGCTGAATTTGTCATCTTGGTGGAAGGCTGATGACCCTCAAATGGTGAATAAAAAATCCACAAACAAATACTCAACCTCACAGAAGTGCAGGAGACTACTACAGGATGGAATCTACCTGAGGCCACTTTCTGAGCAATGACAACTATGAGAGAATGCCTTTGCTTTGGTGGGCTGGTTGATCAAAGGTAAAAGCAGGAATGTGAGAATGCCATCTATCACTATATCCTCCAAGGAGGAGTGAATTAGCTAGGCCAAAGATACAAGAAGACTGCATGGGCTTTGATTTTCATTAAGAGAGTTCCATATTAGTAAGCAACTGATAAACTCTATTAATAATTAATGCAATCCAACCAGAAATGGTGAAAGCTGAAATACCACTCCTATGAGAACAAATTCATGACTACATGAACATTCTTGAAATGTTCTTGGTCAGTTCATCAACTAGGTTCATGAACACATGGATGAACCTTCATGAAATATTAGGATATCTTTTAAGTTTTGGAAATGTCATGAATTTGCTTCATGAACAATTCAAGTACTCTGATGCACCACCAAAAAGTTCTTACAAATGTATATGAAATTTCTATATCATTATATTCATAAAATGTTTATGAAAATTCATATACAAACTTCTCACAATATTAATGAAATATAAATAAAGGTGAAAATTATTTTTAAATTATATGATACTGTTTGTCAGATGATCAAATTGTTTTATAGGAACTGTTCATGAAGTCATGACATGAGGAACATGGTTGTTATTTCATAAACTGACCATTTTCAGTTAATCCACATTCATGAATAGTTCATGAACCTTTTGATGAACTTTTATGAACTGTTCATTAACTGTTCAAGAACAGTTAGTGCCAGTTCATGAATTATTCATGATCATTGCGTAGGGGCAGTTAAACATTTAATGGAGAGGAAATAACACTTCCTACCTATACTTCTCTGTTTATAGGCTGACCAGTAAATATGTAAGCCGTAAATGGCCATACAAGCCTAAATTGATCATCCCCAGCCTAGATATGGCTGAGATCTGAGTCAGGACTAATCATGATATAGCCCTGCTCTATGGATAGGACATGATGCTTGTGTCACAACAATAAGGTAAGCTGGAAAACCATCTTGAGGGAATGATCCTAAAAGGAGGGGTAAGGAGGAAAGGACAAAGGGATATTTAGAGACCAAACTATGCCAAAGAGATTCCATCAAAGCATTAGAGAATGTGACACTGGTCTTTGCAGTTCAAAATACCTGATCAGGTCTGCTAAGTGAAAACCTATAATGGTTCTCAGATGAACCACAATCACAGTGGTGAGACAGAGTCTAGCTGTGGAATGCCTGACTGCATAGGGGGATCTTGAAGAGTGGGAAGGCATAAGTAATAGCTGATCTCACTTATGGCCAAAAAGTGTCTACTACCAAGACCTTCTGGTCAGGGACTGTGGAAAAAAATGGGAGATTTTTGTTCAGTTTGGTGGTAAACAAGTCCACCAAGGCAGTTTCCCAGACTTGGAAAAGGGAGTCTGCTACAGATTGTGTGGAAAGACCATTCTGTAAGCACGATCTTCTCTTTCTTCCCAGGAACACATACTCTTTAGAATCATTCCCTCCAGCTGTGATGCATCTGCAAACTGGTAAGAGAGCGGAGTTGAGGGGGAAGAGGTGGCACAAGCACTCAGGCCAGAAACAAGTCTAGACCTACACCACTCCCTCTATACTTCACACACATTGGGGTCCAAAATCATTGACTGCACTGTTAACGAGGTCACAAGTTACAAAAGGGGCCTATATCAAACTAATAAAGGGTTGGAAATCAATGGAGAGAGGTAAAATGGGTGGGAGAAAGCCAAATTACATTGTTGAATGCTTATTTTATAATCATGCTAAAATAAATTGTAAAAAAAAAAATTTCTTGATAATGATGTAGTTTTTTCTGCATAAATTACCTTTAATTTCTGGATAAACTATATCGAAGAGATCATTAAAAACATTCTAAATGATTTCTATACACATGTACCACCACATTGTGTATTACATCACTGCATTTTTTCTTTATTTGCATACATTCTACAGGGGCCAAGATAGACTTAAATTTTAAGGAGATGTGACTTCTTTTGGTCAGAACAGGGAGAAATGGGAGCAAAACAGGGAGAACTTGAAGCTAAACAGGAAGAAGTGAGACCAAAGCAAGAAATGCAATATATATATATATATATATATATATATATATATATATATATATATATATATATATATATATATATATATATATATAGAGAGAGAGAGAGAGAGAGAGAGAGAGAGAGACTGAGAGAGACAGAGAGAGAGAGACAGAGAGACAGAGAGAGAGACACACAGACAGAGAGAGACAGAGAGAGATGCATTATCTTATTTATGTACTCTATTTCTCAGTATGCCTTCAGCAGTTTTAAGCACAGTTTTAAGCAATACCTTATTTTCAAGATGAAAAATATGTGTTATATGTTTATTATCAACACTTTTGGTACATGTATAAAAGTTATTATATTCATACCCATTCTTATCATACTTGTAGTATATGTGTGTATATGTATTGAGATACATGCAGTGTATTTTGGCCATATGACATTAAAATTACAGCAAAAGCTATTCAATGTAATTAATTTTAACTGATAGCAGCAACAAGATTAGAGTCTTGTAATTGCAAGTTGGCAAAAATGCTTAATAAAGTTCCCTTAATTATTTGATTTTCTACAAGTTTTGTGTAAAATTGCAGTCAAAAAGATTTCTAGCATTCTTTGAAACAACCCCTAATGCATTTACATAGGAATAGATGCACCAGTGCCTTCAAAGTAAACTCTTTATCCTACTCACTTTCTTCCTTCACTACAAAAATTCATTAATAAGACTGAATATTTATGGTTATATTATTTGTCTACCTACTGGTAATAACAATAGGCATTGGTTGAATAGTATTTGCTTCACTACTATACATCTTTTGTATTTTTACAAAAATTAATTAGGGTACGTCAGAAAACAACCTTGACCTTGCCTCAGTGTTTTGAATTCCACAACAGAGATTGTCACATGTTACTGACCTACTTCATTAAACATTTAGGCTAAATCTTCTATCACATAATATTGAAACTTTGTTTTCACTATATTATATATTTTCATGAATCTATTTGCCCAATTATTTACAAATACAAAGAGTTTAATGAAGTGGCATATCATATATGCAGCGATGTCCACCATTACAAGTTTATTTATGGTTTCAAACTATTTTATAATGAAAATATGTAAATATAGCCATTAAATCTCCATTTATAAAAAAGAAATAAATTAGAAAACACTCTTCAATGATTACATTGTTAAAAGAAAATTACTATTTGCATATTAATGTTTAAATTTAAAACAGAATTTGGTATATTTTCTCATAGTAGCGTACAGTAGGCCCAACTTCATGAAATCGAACAATGATATCTTGCTCCAGAAAGGGTTAATGGTCAGTTAGCTATTAAAATTTCCATGTGAATGTGCATGAATTTCTT